ACAATTTTGTAAAACTTCTGAGAACCAAAGCCAGAAGAAAATGTAAGAGCAACTTAAAAATTCATATTACACTGACTGAGTTTCTTGGTATTCAGAAATTTCTTATTTTAGCTATGTAAATGATGAGTAGAAAAGTGAGATCATTGGAAGTATTGAACTAGTTTAATTATCTTATACCCACCACAAGTCCCAGTAGAACCTACTTGGAATTCATACTATGTAGAGCTAAAATGACTCTTCCAATTTCAAGAAACCATTAGAAAAAGAAGGAGAAAGAAATAAAAATTTCTACAAGATATCTTCAGCTTGGTTTTGAGAGCAAAAACTGACATGATTCTGTGGAGCCTGCAACAGTACGCTGCAGCAGGGCCTTTGTACCAAAGGTCATGGCTCTAAATGTTCCTGTGTAAGCACATGGATTTCTCACCTTAGCAAAAACTTCTCTTCCAAAGAAGAACTGGATTCTGTTTGGCTATCTCTGTAGTCACAAATCTAAAAAAGCCAATGGTCTTCCTCTTACATTTAGAAATAGAGAATTCCCTGTTAAGAGCGGTCAATCATTAGTCTCCTCTGTTATCGCACAGTCTTTATCACAGAGAACTAAAATGCTTTTATTCTCACTCTTTTTAAAGTATCTGTAATGTTGTAGCATTCTGAAATAGAAGAGTACTAAGTCCAATTGCAGGTAAGCCAGTCCAACCATTTAACATCACTCCCATCATTCATTGTCTTCCAGGCCCAAGGTTACATGATAACAACAGGAGTGTAAGAGGCTATCCCCCTCTGTAGTACATTCATTTGAACCTAACAAAACCAGATTGATTTCAAATTGATGCTTCATAACTAGCCAGTTGTATCAAGCACTATGAAGTTCTACCAGTAGTTATTAATGGTTTGCTAGTTAGAGTTTCCATCCTGACTACCATCAGTGGTCCAACTTGGCCTCCAATCGGGAGACTTGGAGACACACCATACATAATGCCATTGTCTCCTCTGAGAACACAGGCAGAACTAGTCTCGTGGAGAAAAGACAATGTAGAAAGAATCGCGCCCCGCCTATACCACCCAAGGAGACTTTTTGTTGTGCTTTTTGCAACCAGATTTGCCTATCCCATATTGGCCTTTTTAGTCATCAGCGCATTTGTAGTAAGCGTGGGTAAAGCCCTTCTCAAATCTTCGTTCATGAAGTCAAGCCATGATGATGATGATAAGTTGAGTTTCAGAGACATATGATATTGGGTTTGGGATTTTTTTATTTTTGCCTTCACTGGTGAACACTTACCCTATTAAGACTGTGTCTCCTCCCTCAGATGGATTTCTAAGAGCTATCAGAGACACTACCTAGGTAAGAAAGCACAGACTATTGGTGTTCTAGAAAGGTTCACCTTCTTGGAAGATGGTGATGATTCCTGGCTCTAAAGACTGAATTTGCACTTCTAGGATCAAGTATATATTTACTGTTCTAATAGGAAACACTTAATTTTCTCTCTGCCAGAGCACAGGAGTTTCTGCAACACTGGTTCCTGATGAGAAACACTTCCCTATAGCTACAGACATATCAGCAGGTTCCTAGTGGAGAAAATTACATGGATCTCATTTTAAAAGGCTGTGATGACAATGTGCAATTTCTAAACTTTAATTCCCCACCCCCAAGTTGCTTTTTTACCCTTGCATGAACCCAGATCAAGTTCATCAGTTTTTCAAATGCCTTCTTCTCAACAGAAAGCTGTCCCTTTCAAATAAAACTTATTGGATTTCCCAGATTCTGGTTTTCCTCTATTTATTTATACCCTCAAATAGAAGCTGGAACAAGGATGAGATTTCCCACTGTGAGTGAATCTAGGAAAAAAATAAAACTCCCTAGCTATCTACAGCATTGGTTGTTACAGACTTAGATTTTGATTTTAAGAAAGTCTTACAAAGTCCACTCATTTTCATCTCTCTTCAGGCTATTCTATGGAAGTACCCTCAGATTAATCAGAAAAATAAGTGTCCAAATATTGAGGAAAAACAGCAGAAGAACATTTGCTGCATTTCCAAATTCTTGGGGGGTATTTGTTTCTGCTGAGATTTGAGCTTCACTTTGTAACTACCTTCTTCTATGGATGACCTTAAATCTTTTACCATTTCGTATGAAGTTTTAGTTGAAAGTTTACAGGGAACAGCATCCAAACCGAACCTCCTTGATCTAAGATCTAGTTGGTAAGCAGGCCAAATCTTCTTCCAGGTACATCAAGATCAAAATAAACATGATTAGCATATCCCAAAATCCATTTTATTAAGGCAAGCCTTAAGTATTTAGCATGTAAATTTTTCCAGGGCCCTTGATGGAACATTACCATCAACACCAACCACTGAAAGCAAAGCAATAACAGATGCAGTAGCATCTCCAAGGTGACTTCAGGTTTTCATTTCTATAAGGTAATTAATCCTCACTTTGTGTGTGTGTTCTATTATCTTTCCTCCTTTACTACCTACAGTTACATGGTAAAACAACTGGGAGTTTTAGCCCTCTCATATTATTAACAGTAGAGGAATGCACAAATTTAAAAGCACACATCCTTTAAAACGTTTATTCATGGTCATTTCTTACATTCCTACTGTGTTAATTTAGCACTGAGAAGCAAATTCAGTGGGTTTGATTAAGAGCTTTTTCTACACCTTTAATCTACTTAATACCAATCAGGAGATGTGAAAAATGTTCTTTAAAAATTAAAACTCCTTAGATCCATGTTGTGGATAGTAACTATGTAATTAAAAGGAACAAATTTAAAATCTGACAACAATTGGTGCATCTCCAGCATTTAAAATGATTCAATTATTAATAATTCATGCTCAAAACCCCATATGTGGGCAATGAAGCAGGAGAGATGAAAACAAAGTCTGATCCATGACTAACCTTACATCTGTACAGAGCCTGACTAAACAGAGTTACAGCAGCGTGTTTTCTACAACATTTACCCAAATACAGTAGGAAACTGTCACGCGATATGTATTTGCAGTGACACTCAACAGTTAACATTTCTAATATACAAGAATCCAGATATGCATATAGTTCCATATGAAGTCAAATTGAATCCGAGTACGGAGTGGGCTAGATGCTTCAAAGATTTTAATTACATATGAGTTAAAGCCAAATTTGCTTTAAAAATATCAGAGTATCCAGTCCAACCATTATGATTTTGGGGCTGGTTCAAGCAAAAAATCAGGAAGGTTCTCTCTAGTATTGTATGGTCAAACTTTTAATGACAGTCATTCTTCTGAGATGCTAGGCTACATTTAAAATACTAATTAGATGACTCATGTTGTCTTTTAGCTCACTTAGCCCATCCAGCAATGTATTCTGAATGTTATTAGATCTGCTCCCATGAATTTAGTCTTAACTAGAAATTTACACAAGCAACTCACCACACCATACATGTCTTTGTATCAATTCAGCCCAAAATTCAAACCTCGTGAGAGTTCATCTGTTAACATACAATTACTTAATCCTAGATCTAGGTTTTTACTTCTTCCTCACTCCCTTTTTTGTTTTTTTTTTTCTTACCTTTTTTCTTCTTTTAATGTCAGCTTTCCTTTCATAGCTTTCTTGGCATATTTGCTACTGCAATAAGCTGCATACAAAAACAACGGCAATGACATGTCTGAGTTAGCTGCAAAGCCATTTTTCAAGCCCAAGCCAATGAAGTTGCACATCATTTGCTAATGTCCTCAAAACAAGAAGCTCCAAGAGAAGACTGAGGGACACAGAAGAGGTAGAACTGCTAACTCATAATAACAACTATAATGATTTGTAATACTACCATATTGCTGCATGTAACTGTCAGAAGAGAAGGTGTAGTCTAGGAGACCTCCCAGTATAGAAATAAGCACACAATATTCTTAGAAATACAACATCCTAAAAGGCATACGGAAGGGTAAGGCTAGAGCATACCCATAATTTTACCATTAAAACATAGAATCATAGAATAGTTAGGGTTGGAAAGCACTTCAAGATCATCTAGTTCCAATGTGCATTAAAAGATATCACGTTAGTGTTTTAAACATGCTCAACAATTTAAAAAAAGAGTGTCATAAATAGTTTTGTTTACTCCTACAACCTTTTTGATGTCCTGGTTCCAATCACTGTTCCATATGTGGAGGGATGAGAGAAGAGACATGTTTATTCTGTGGCTGATTTATTACAAAATCAAGACCATTCAGCATCTAATTCCACCCCTCCTTAAATACATTGTTGCTGTTCTCTCTTGCACAATTTACCACCACATGTAAAGGTCATGTCCACTGGTAAAGTAATTCATATGGTTATCCAAATCCTATCCAAGCTATAAATTAATGTGACATAAACTGCCTGCAGCATTTCTTCTATTTCTAGTGTTATACACAGGCAAGTCTAGCCTGGTTTAGTGATAATTAAAGTAAAAACTGCATACATCTCCCCCAAGAACACACGCCAAACAGGAAACCAATTAGTTCCAGGATGATACCTGCTGAGGGAGACACAGCAATGATCTCTAGCAAATGCTGACTTTGGGCTTTCAATGTAAAATGTAAGTACACTTTACTTCACGATTGCCACCTGTATCACAATCACAGAGAGAGAAGTGCCAAAGGAGGGAAAAAAAAGATACAAAATTTCATCAGAATCCTGATGTTCCTGATTTTACATAAAGCAACCAGAAAAGCTGCAGGCTGGTCTCCTAATGCTCTGAAAATTAAGATTTGCATAAAACACAGGCAAACATACTGTTTTCCAGAACATGCTGATTTCTTAAACATATGTTAAATTTCTTAAAAAGCCTGTGGTGGAACATGATGCATGCTCTGCAAATGGGCTTTACTTTTTGCAGCCAGAATGAGCTCACTTATTTTGAAACCACAGACTGATCAATGTTGTCCTCAAGAATAGTCGAAGGAGATTAAACCTTATTGGATATTTTTCTTTTGTGATATAGCTTTGATTAGTAAACTAATACCATAAATGAACTGGAACAATTCACCCTGCAGACTGCACTGGAAATGTGTTAATACACACTTGCTGAAGATTCAACCCACAGCAAAGTAGTCTCCTCAGAAACTGCTCCAGATGGTCTGAAATACAATGGAAACAGTCACTGAGAAAACCTAGCTTCATAGAGGTGCTGGGAAAGGTGGTGAAAGATGAGGACTTTGCCCCAAAAATTAACTGTCTGAAGAGGGACTGCTCAAGTGTGTTACACTGTACAAGTAGTTTCAGGAGCCCAAGGTAGACCTGGAAAGAAGAATCTATACTAAAGAAGCTAAAAGAAATTTCAGAGCCTGAGATTTGTCATCTATCCCCAAATTATTATTTCCTTCACTGGGACTCTGCAGATTAAATAGCATCCTCAGTGCAATTTAACATGTGAGAACGTAGTTTACCCAATGTGGCTCAAACTCTGCTCTAAGCCTGAACATTTACAACACCTGCTAACAGTCGCCTGTTCTCACACACTTTTAGAACATCTTTCATTTTTGATTTGCATTACAAACAGCTACTTTCTGCTGTCCTCTCTCTCCTCCAAAGTCTTTCATAAAACCTGTCGACTGATTTATTCAAGCACTTATCTTTTAACTTGCTGTCACTAGACAGGTGCACACTTGCAACAGCTCTTGTAGCTGAGCCCATTTAACAGCTCTTGTAGGGGCCCATCCTTGCAAGACATTGAGCTGTACAGAAGTTAGTGCCCTGAATACACATTGAAAGCAACGATTTAGGGCTCTCTGTCTCACAGGCAGTGCTCAGTGCCTTAGGCATTAGTTTCTTCCCTGTTAAGAAGATTGTAAAAGGACCATCCCATCTAACTATTTAATGTTATTTTAATAGGCTACATTACATGAACTTGATACAGTAGTGGTTATCCGAGTCTAAAGCTCCATTTGCTCCAAAGACTTCAATCACAGAAGTAGGTAGAAGTAAATCCATATAACCCAACAGGTAAGAGAGTTGGACACCGTCAGTGTCCAGGCCAGGGTGATCTTGTTTGCATATTCCAAATTCACTTGACCACACCTGCACTCAGATTTTTTTTTGTTGACATTTTACTGTCAAGAGACTGGAGATGAAGGGAGAATAAAAATGAAGAGCAAATTCAGAGGGAAATTTATTTATTTATTTCAAGTCACCAAGACAGTAAAGAAAATCCTACAGTTAATTCACATAAAGGAAGAAGGTTGCAGAACAGTTCTCTGTCTGCCACTCTACACTACTCTATCACAGGCTGGCCTTTTATAGGAGATGAATTTTGACACTCTGGGGTAGCAGGTAGGACAATAACCATAGATTACGCAGCCACGTACAAACTTCATTACTTAGGATATAGCAGAAGCTAATAAAGATGTGTTCACAGAGATCAGTCCAGCCGCAGGTGAATCATAGAAGATCTCAGATATATCTACACACAGTCCCTCTTCTGTGCAAAAACCAAGTGCATTGCAAAGAAGAAAACACCTTAATAGAATATGGAAGGAGAGTTTAAGCAGTTTCAGTCCATCTCCAGGGTGCCTTCAGATAGTTCTCCTACTGAAAATTATCCAGATCTCTGCATGTGAACTCTGTGCTAATGCTTTTTGGGAGATGACAGAAGTCTTTATGAGAAGGAAACTGAATGCAGTCTCAATAGTTTCAAAGACAGAAGATTATGTTGTGAGCTTTATAATGCTTCCTTCAAATTCCAGCCCAATATCATACAGCTGAATGTATGTCCTACATGTACAGCCCAACAACTTGGTTAAAATATCCAGGCTAAATTAAAAATCTTTATGTAGTGAAACATTTACTATAATTTTCAGGAGAAGTTACAAGATCACACCCAAACATACACAATGCACACAGCATAACCAACATTATGGGTAAAATTAACCATTAGCTCCTGTACTGTAAATTCCGTTGAATTCAAACAGCAAGACTGTCTGCATAAAACCTGAAATCCTGAAGTATTATGAAACCTCAATAAAGCTTGTGAGTATAATTTTTTAAACCTAAAACATTAAGTCTAATCACATCAAAACAAAACAAAACAAAGGATTCAAGTAACTTGAGTGGGAAGAAATTCAAACCAGCAATAAGTTCTTTTTTTTTTTTCATTCATGTGGAATCACAACTACCTTCTCACTTTTTTATTTCTTGACTGATATATCAGAAAAACATCTGCTCATCTAGTTAGGCTGCTATTAAACATCTAATGCCCTCTATAATGTGTGTTGAAATGCCTTGTTTTCAAGCAGTCTCATAACTTAGCTCTCAGAGCATATTAGATGCTTCACTTTTGGATCTTATTCAGCAGGATGTAGCCATACCTCAAGCAAGGATACTTTTTTTAAAAGAAAACCATAAGCAACCAATTCTCCCTCTTGCTATGAGCCACGAAGCCGTCAGCAGATGATTCTGAGTTAGAACTAACAGACAACCCTCTCTGTGGAAGACCATCAGGTAGTTCTGTGGCTGAGTGCGTTTATGTTTTACGCATGGTGTATGTGTTTGAAGCTGCTAGCAGGCCAGACAAGGGGAAGCTCTGGGCTTATTATCCAGCTGCTTTTTCCAGCCTCAGGTTCAGAATGTGCCATCAAGCTTTGGTCAAATCAGACTGTACTGGCACACACCACAGTCAGCTTTGGGAAACAGCTGAGTACCCAGGGTAAGGTAATTTTTCAGGCGTCCTAAGGAATAGCACTTTTGAATGGAGGGGACCATGAGGTTTGACATCTTTGTTGCTTGCTTCAGGGCTGAAAGGAGGTTCCCAACCCCGTCATTTCATTTATGGATAATGATACCCAGCATTTAGGACCAGATGTTTTTAAACATATCCTATGCTGAAAAGATGAAGGCTATTAATTTAATGAGACTCAAACCTCACATAAATCCTGCAACGACAAGCATGATGAAAACTAGCTTCTTATAAGTGACCAGATATATCAGTGCCATGCCACAGGAGGTTAGCTATATCAAAGGCCGAAACACACAGGAATAACAACTACCTGGACTAGCCACAAAGAAATCCACAGTAGATTGTGCCATGTGATGATTTCATTCCATCATTCTGAGGATTGAGGACAGGCCTCTGAACCAGACCTGAGGCCCCAGTCATGGCCTGCAGGGAGGGTGGCCTGGCTACCAGTGGGGTTTCCCTTCCTCCAGGGAGCATGTATGCCCTGGTCCTAAGGAAGCTTTCTCACAACAGATGCCTTACTGCAAAACTATATAGGATTCATCCAAAATCTGGAAGTTCCCTGTCAGAGGGAGGGGCTGCTTTAGGCCAGAGCAAGAAGCTGGGGGCTGCTTCTACCTCAGGGCCAAGCCACAGCAGTGCCCACAGATGCCCATTCCTGCCCCACAAGTGCCTTCCATCCCCTTCCTTTCCTCCTCACAGCATTGCCACAAAACTGGATTTATTTCAGCTTGCTATTTAAGGAACAGTTTCAAGAAGAGGGGCTCTTGTTCAGTCATTTCCTCAGAGCAGGGCTTCCTCTCTTCCTAGCCTTGATTGACATTGGATCTGTTTCAGACCATACAGAGTGAAACCTATGAGCCTCCAGCCTCAGGGCCAGATTTATAGGCAGAAAGAGAATTCTGTGATCTTTTTCCATGTATTTGTTGTTACAGTTGAAATAGGCCTCTTATTCTCAATCTGGAGACACTTTTATTGTTCACCTTTTCTCGTATGTCCTTAGGCACAAGGAGTCACAGCAGAGTAAGCCAGGCCCAGGACTCAGTGCAAAGTATCACTCACACTGTGAAAGCTTTCTCTTCTCTGGATTCCCACAGTAAGGACAGACAGAAGTATCTTCATTGGTATAAATCAGTCAGGCACCAGCAGCTAAAGAGTTGTATCAGCTTTTTTTATAACCCAGTTTTAGTAAGTGTTTCAGAAAAAAAAAAAAACAGTTTTGAAAATTTCCCACATCAAACAAAAGATAAAACACAGGTAGACAATAAATCTTCTAGAAAAAGTCACAAATTCACCAGCACATAACTCCTACCCGTTAACAGTGATTTCCTTTATTTTAAATGGATTTCAAATTCAACAAAACACACAGTAAAGCTGTCCTTGCTCCTTGGTAAGATACTTCCCATTTGGTTAATTACCTTTACTGCTCTTGAATATGGGGAGATTTTGTTGTTCTGTATTACTTCAAGAAGTTGGATCTCACTCTGGCCAGCTACCATGCAAGACACTTTTTCATCTTGAAAACACAGGTGAACATTTACTAGTCAAAAAGCTATGACAGTCACAATTTACTAACAGTAACTAGGCTGAAATAACAATGATGCAAACAAATCCTTTTTACTCTGCACTGGAAAGGGTTAAGGATGCTCAAATCATAGAATCATAGAATAGTTAGGGTTGGAAAGGACCTTAAGATCATCTAGTTCCAACCCCCCTGCCATGGGCAGGAACACCTCACACTAAACCATGTCACCCAAAGCTCTGTCCAACCTGGCCTTGAACACTGCCAGGGATGGAGCATTCACAACATCATCGGGCAACCCATTCCAGTGCCTCACCACCCTTACAGTAACAAATTTCTTCCTTATATCCAATCTAAACTTCCCCTGTTTAAGTTTGAACCTGTTACCCCTTGCCCTATCACTACAGCCCCTAAAGGATAGTCCCTCCCCAGAATCCTTATAGGCCCCTTTCAGATACTGGAAGGCTGCTATGAGGTCTCCACGCAGCCTTCTCTTCTCCAGGCTGAACAGCCCCAACTTCCTCAGCCTGTCTTCATATGGGAGGTGCTCCAGTCCCCTGATCATCCTCGTGGCCCTCCTCTGGAATTGTTCCAACAGCTCCATGTCCTTTTTATGTTGAGGACACCAGAACTGCACACAATACTCCAAGTGAGGTCTCACAAGAGCAGAGTAGAGCGACAGGATCACCTCCTTCAACCTGCTGGTCACACTCCTTTTGAGGCAGCCCAGGATACAGCTGGCTTTCTGGGCTGCGAGCGCACACTGCCGGCTCATGCTAAGTTTCTCATTGACCAACACCCCCAAGTCCTTCTCTGAGGGCTCCTCTGAATCTCTTCTTTGCCCAACCTGTAGCTGTGCCTGGGATTGCTCCAACCCAGGTGTAGGACCTTGCACTTGGCATGGTTAAACTTCATAAGGTTGGCATCTGCCCACCTCACAAGCACATCGAGGTCCCTCTGGATGGCATTCCTTCCTTCCAGCGTATCAACCGAACCACACAGCTTGGTGTCATCGGCAAACTTGCTGAGGGCACACTCAATCCCACTGTCCATGTCAGTGACAAAGATGTTGAACAAGACTGGTCCCAACACTGATCCCTGACGGACACCACTTGTTACCGGTCTCCAGCTGCACATTGAGCCACTGACCACAACTCTTTGCGTGCGATCAGTCAGCCAGTTCTTTATCCACCAAGTGGTCCACCTATCAGATTGATGTCCCTCCAATTTAGAGACAAGGATGTAATAGAAAGTTACAGCTCTGCTGAGGGGTACTAGCTGCTTAAACTGTGATGGCAGATAGCTGTTTCACAACTGAATATTTACTATATCTAAATTTTCCCTTTGAAGATACTTTTGTGATTAATTTGCTTTTTATCCAACTGTTAAACAAATTAACATTATTATGAGGTACGGAAGAACAAGGTTCATTATATTTCAAGCCTTCTGAAAACAAGTATCAGAAGGGTAAAGATGTGGGAGTGAGTTTCCTTGACTATTTAGTGTTCTTTTAACCTTAGCTTGATTACGTCAGATCAGAAAAAGAATTAATTACTTTCACAACAAGACTATTTATTGTTTGCAAGACACAAATTTAGAACTGTGGGAGATTTTAAAACTAGAGTTGTATTGAAGGGAAAAATCAAAACAAAAATATTATCTTCAGAAAGGGGGCAGAAGGAAATAAATTGAGACAGTTTCATGAAAAGAGAATGGCAGAGTGAAGTAACCCCTCTATGAATCTTCCCCACTCTCAAGAGCTAGTTCTGTTCCAAGTGAAACCTCTAGGTGTGACAATATTGCCTCCATTGAAATAAAAGGAAAAACTCCAAATGCCACCACCTGGGATGGAACTTGGTCCTGAGAAAATTCTTTAGCCTCAGCTAAATAAGTACGGTCTAGATCCTACTCAGCCAATAGCACTTTGCCCTTCAGTTCCTACGCACCTCAGAACAGGTTCCTGCTTTAGATTCTTTCACTGCCATTTTCCCTGCTCTGGCCTCCTGAGAATTTTTCACTTTGAGACCATTAAGAGCACGAATACGTTCGAAGATTTTTTTTTTTTTTAAGAGGCAAAGTAGTCTTTTCAAAACAGGGAGGGAAAAAAAACAGGTGGAGAGAGGACAATAAAAAAAAGTCCTTCCTTTTTTTAAAGAATGTATCCCTGCTCTGCGTGGTAAAGGAGAGCTAAGCTGGCTTTACTAATTTGTCCAAAGTGCTTGAAGATCCTCCAATGGGTTTTTACAAGAAACCAAGTGATACTACTGCATTATTTTGCTCTGCTCCACTAAGCAGACTTTATGACAAGATTCTCAGGGAGCTCTTGCGGAGTGCAAAAAGGTAACTTTAACTGAGCTGTCTGAGAGCCTGACATTAACTTTTCCAAACAGGCTTTGCTTTATGTTCAGGGCAGGGGTTTATTAATTGGTTGAATGAATCAGCCAGCACACTGAGGTATTACAAATACAATCACTTATCTCTTTACATTCAGTCTGGACATCTAAGTGCCTTAACTTCCATGCTTTTACCTCCAGCAGCTTAAAAGGGGACTAGCCTGCATTGCTGAGCTTGTTTTTCTCCCTGAAGCCTGCAAGCCACATCATGCCAGAATGTGGAACTCCTCTTAGATATCAAAACTTTCAGACAGCTAAGTTCCTAAAGCAAACACTACCAAAGAATATGATGGCCCACACACCTTTAGGGCACTTATATTACAGACATCAGTACATGTCAGAAAGGTTTAAGATGGGATAAAATAAACAGGTATAGAGTTATTGTCCGTAATTATCCTATGTATTTTCCCCTTTTCCATCCCCTGTGGCTTTTTTCTTTTTTTTTTAACACAGAACCAGAAAAACATGAACTATCAGTAAGTCTAAGATCACAGTTGGACAAAATCATCACAGCAAGCCTCACATCAGAGCCAACTGGGGCTTGCATGGAGACCACCCACCACAAAAACCTGCAGACCTCACCAGTGCAAACTAGACCAGTCCCCGGCTTCCTGGAAAGTTCATGAACGGAAATAGTTTCAAAGCCTAACTTAGGCAGACTACCTTGTACAGACACTGGTATCACCTCCCTACATTAGCCGTTATGGAGTTATGACCCAGCCATCCCTGAATGGCACATACTACAGTACCATCGCCACAGAAGGCCCTGTGGAGCCTGAATACTGCCCACAATGATTCTGAGAGTATCAGACAGGTCTCCCAACACACAGACAGAAAATCAGATATTTCTACTCCTAGGCAATGGGAACATTTAATTTCAACAAATTTCATCATTCTGCACAGTAAGTACCAGAACCCTCTTTTTCTTTTTGGATTTCTCAAGGAAGACAGCTATAAGTATTGAATACAATCACCATCTTGTCACCTCCTTATCTTTTTTCTCATCAGTTCCATTCCATTGCTTCATTTCAATGCCTAATATAGAATATAAGGAGAACGTAATGACAGTTAAGAAATACCATATATATTAACAGATAAATAAGCCTCACAAAGCCAGTCTCCTATGAACACTGTTGCAAATGCTGGCTACACAAACAAGTTGGACAGCTGTACCTGAAACCCTAATAAATCCATTTAAAATAATGTAATGTTTGGATCATTTTTTTCAAGCAGAGTCCTTAATCACTGTACAACGTTATTATTCATTAATGTGTGCCAGGTATGTGCAAAATAATTATTCTTCAGGTCTTGGATTTATGCACTGGATACAATAAGTAAAAAAAAAAAAGAAAACATACAAGTGTGAATTGTTCCACTGCTCAATTCAAATTCCTGGAAATATTGAGTGAGAATGATTTTGTAATTTGGGATTACTTTCTGATGAGTCCCACAGTGACTTTGCCTGATTGTAGCACACTCCAAACCAATGCAAATAAAAAAGAGTATCGGAACACTTTAATATAATATAGTATTTTTGTTATAAAATAGAATCCTGGTGAATTTCACATCTCTATTGTTCTTACACATGCTCCAATATATATACATCATACACTCAGAATATGTAAG